GCCGAGAACTAAAAAATAAATATTAAAAATTCTCTCTCTCTCTCTCTCTCTCTCTCTCTCTCTCTCTCTCTCTCTCTCTCTCTCCTCGCTCACTCTCTCTTTAAAAAAATAAAAAGTCTGAGGATGTAGGTTGGTGGTTAAATGCCTTTAAGTTAAATCCCTGGGGGTACAAGAAAAGAAAACACATGCTTAATTATTTAATACTTCAGGTTTACTATTTTTAGAGATGGATACATCAATTTAGCAAGTATGGATTTGCCATTCATTCCATCTGGGAAGCTTGGTGGGTGGTATTGGCTACCCACTTGGGCCCCTTGGTGAAGCAGTTCTGTGATTTGCCTTCACTAGAGAATATGTGTAACCATTTGCTTAGAGTAGTCCTGGTGAAGACTTTATTTATAGTTGCGTTAGGAATAGAGAGCATATTTCCAAATATTCTTCTTATTCTTTTTTGAGGGGAGGGGTACTGGGAATGAAACCCAGGGGCACTTAACCACTGAGTCATATCTCTAGCCCCTTTTACTTTTTATTTTGAAGAGTCTCACTAAGTTGCTTAGGGCCTTGCTAAGTTGCTGAGGCTGGCGATACTCCTACTCAGCCTCCCAAGTTGCTAGGAGTATAGGCATGCACCACCACACGTAACAGATTCTGCTTATTTTTTTTTTAATATTTATTTTTTAGTTGTAGTTAGACACAGTACCTTTATTTATTTATTTTTATGTGGTGTGAGGATCGAACCCAGGGCTTCACACACGCTAGGCAAGCACTCTACCACTGAGCCACAACCCCAGCCCTAGATTCTGCTTATTCTTTAACTCTCTATTTTGCTTATACTTTTTTCTTTTTTGTTTTTATTTTTTTTTTCACTTTAAAAAAAAAATTTGCTCTAATTAGTTATATATGACAACAGAGTGCACTTCGATTCATAGTATACAAATGGAACACAATTTATCACTTCTCTGGTTGTACATGGAATCACACCATTTGTGCAATCAGACATATACCTAGGGTAATGATGTCTATCTCATTCCACCATCTTTCCTACCCCCGTGGCCCCCACCCTCCCTCCTCTTTGCCCAATCAAAATTCCTTCATTCATCCCATGCTCCCCCCATATGGATCAGTATCCAGTTATCAGAGAAAACATTCAGCCTTCTTTTTTCTTTTTATTAGTGTATTATACGTAATACTGGTGTTCATTTTTGATGTAATTATACATGCATGGAATATGATTTGCTCCACTTCAGTATCCCCACTCCATTTCCTCTTTCCCTCCCCTCCTCCCTCCCCCATTCCCTTTCCTCTACTTAATTGGTCTTCCTTGTACTTATTTATAGTTTTGTTTTTAACTGGTGCTTTATGGATATACACAAAGGTGGGAGCTGGGCATGGTAGTACACACCTGTAATACCAATGACTTGAGAGGCTGAAGCAGGCGGATCGTTTGTTTAAGAACACTCTCAGCAAATCAGTGAGACCTGCTCTCAAAAAGGGGTGGGGCGGTGGCTGTGGCTCAGGGGTAGATACACACTTGCTTTGCATGTGTGGGGCACTGAATTCGATCCTCAGCGCCACATAAAAACAAATAAATAAAGACATTATGTTCATCTACAACTAAAAAAAATACTAAAAAAATAAAATAAAATGGCTGGAGATATAGCTTAAAGTACAGATAAAGGTGAAATTCACCATGATATCATATATGTATATAGCATAATTTGGTCAGTTTCAGTCCTTTTTTATATTTTTTTCATTCCAGGAATACTTCATTTCTTCATCAGTGGAGATACAAGAACAGGTTAATCGTGTTCAAAAACTTCACCATATTCTAGAAATAATAGTTAGTTGCATGTTTTTCATTCAACTTCAACATGAGCTCCTCTTTTCTTTAACACAGTAAGTATTTATTGTTTACTTCATAGATACATCTTCTCTTCTGAATCCCAGCTATTTGGGAGGCTGAGGCAGGAGAATCACAAGCCTGACCAACTTTTTCACTAAATAAAATTTCAATAAAATCTAAAGGGCTGGGGTGTAGCTTAGTGGTAGAGCAGTAGCCTAGCATGTACAAGGCCCTGAGTTTGATCCCCAGTCTGAAAAGAAAGAAAGGAAGGAACGTGGGTGTTCTTTTCTGAAAAACTGCAGCCAAAATATGTAGTTTTTATTGCCAGTCGGGATAGAACTTGTTCACCCTGTCTTCAGATTAGCATGGTTCTAGGTCACTATCATAGGAAGGAAAGGGTTTTAAATCCAGAATACTCAGACTTAACACTTGGTTTTATCACTTTTTAACTTTCTTAGGAAGTTTCCTCTCACTTAATCTTGTTTCCTCCTCTATGAAAAGCATCATTAGATCCATCAGAGATTATTAAACTTCCTATGTAAAGCCAGGCATGGTGGCACACGCCTGTAATCCTAGCAGTTTAGGAGGCTGAGGCAGGAGGATTGCAAGTTCAAAGCCAGCCTCAGCAAATTAGAGAGGCACTTTGCAACTCAACAAGACCTTGTCTCTAAATAAAATATAAAAAAGGGCTGGGGATGTGACTCAGTGGTTAAGCACTCCTGGGTTAATCCTCAGTGTCAATAAATAAATAAATAATCCTCCTATGTGTGCTGTAAGGATTAAATTATATAATGTGTATAAGGTCACTGACACATAATAAGTGCTTAATAAATATTGTTTCTTCTCTTCTTTACATCCCTATAAATCTGAGTCAGACCAATCATTACCAGTCATCTCTATGGACAACTGGGTGAAATCAGATAGTATTACCAGACCTCTGTAGTTGGATTGTTGTAGTTAGAGATTCTGAACAGTTAGAACTAAAAACAATTTGGAATAATCCGTATACATGTATTGCTGGTGTTTTACATGTACTAGAGCTCTCAAATGAGGAATAAATAAACCATTGAGCCTTTTCCAAATTTAGAATTTGCCTCAATTTTAAAGAGAAAGGTTTGAAATTGTTACTTTTTATAGAACCTAAAAGAATTGTTTTCATTAAAAATCAGTAGTATAATCAAGTTAACTCATATACTCCAGACTCTGAAAACCACGGAGGCCATGTCTTTATCTCTCTTCTACCTCTTAGTTTTTATGTTTCTGATACCTCTTTGTCCTGATTTGAGCCTTTACTTGGGCTCAACATAAACATATTAAGCATATTTTTATATGTATGAGAAATATGTCTATTATTAATTTATTTTTAAAGTGATTGACCTAGCACCCCTGGGTCCAATACCCAGTACAGAGAGAGAGAAAAAGAGAAAGAAAGAAAGAAGGAAGTAGGGGGATGTTGAGATTTTCTTTTAATAAAAAACAAAACAAAACAAAAAAAAAAACCTTAGTTGGGCAGGTGCTGTTCATTTTGTACTTTTGTGGTAGATGGTACTCAATAAAATATTTCTGATAATCTAAGGAAAGTTTTATCTCCAAATGAGTCTTCCAAAAGGTGTTTTGGGGTTTTGTTTTGTTTTTTTTAGATCCTGCATAAAATATTATAAACAAAATCCTCTTGATGAGCAACACATTTTTCAGCTGCCAGTTAGACCAGCTGCTGTAAAAAACTTATACCAAAGGTAAGCAGTTTAATAATTAAATTCTACCTTAAGTCCACCCATGATTCTTGGCAATTTTGGTGTCTATACCATGGGAATCTCATCATCTAGAACCTTTTCTCCTCTGAAACCTGCATCAGTGCCCCGTTCTCTGACCATAGTCCAGTAGTCCTCCCCTTTCTTTCTCCCAGACCTTATATCAGCTCTTTTTAGATTGTCAAGCCTTTAATTCTTCATTTTGTTCTCAATTTGAAATTATTCACAAAAGAAAGTAGAAAGTAGAGCCAGAAAGGAAATGACAGATTGGGGTGCGGGGGGGTGGGAATGATCAGGAGAGTGGCAAGGCTAAGGATATGGCTGTGGGAGTAAAAGGAGAATGTGGGATTGGGGAGGCTATGGTGATGGGTTAGTTATCTACTTGGGCACTGAGTTTGCTACAAGTGATGATCTCCCCTGATTCTTCCCTCCACATAGAAAATACTTGAATTTTCTCATACTACAGCCACTGTTAATTTCCCCCCCTCTATTTAGTTCTTTCTTAGACAAACCCCCATCTCTCCCCTGAAACTGCTCAGGTGAAGGTCCCCAAGAGCCACTCATTGGCAAAATCAGTGGATGATTTTCAGTAAAAGAATGTTCTTTTGCTCCTTGTGTGCCATCAGTTTTCTCCTTTAGTAAGCACCCATAGGCTATTTGTTGTTTAGCACTATACTTTTCTTAAACCTGTCTTCTTAGTTTCTGTGACATGCATTCTGTGTTAACTTTTTAATTTCACTTCTCTGGCCCACTCCCAAGACTGAGAATAGTTCTTTTTTTAAGTTATTGGTCAGCTTGCTTCCTAGATGTGAGTTTTCACCAGAACAGTCTCTGGGCTAATGATAATTCATAATCTATGTATTCAGCTTCTTCTGAGCTTCAGACCTAAATTTCTATATGCCTATTAGATGTGAATCCCCAGCTTCAGGGTCATGTAGTTAGTCTAGAATCTAATTCTGAACCAGTACTAAGAGCTGTTGTACAACCTGGCACCTATGTATTAGGTGAAAAGTGCTAGAATAAATTTTACATGTACATGTTAATCAGCTTGATTCAGCCATTCTACAATGTATATATATAGAAAACATGTTGTATATGATAAATACATACATTTTTGGTTAAAAATTAGTAAAATGTTAAAACAACAATGAGCCCCTATTCCCCTTTGTTGTCCTTCTGCATTTCATCTTTCAAGTGACCATCATTAGTATCCATCTAATACCTAAAATAGAAACCTGAGACTTATTCTCCACTAATTGTTGTCCTGCACTCCCTCCTTTAAATGATTACCAAGTCAACAGTTAAAGAAATTGAAATAATAAAATAAAATAAATGGATATAAAGTCCTGATCTTATTTGTACCTCTTGAATTCAGCCCTTTCTTCCCATCATCATTACTTTTCTTTATGTCTGTCTTTTTCATACTGGACTTTGGTAAAATCCTCTTTCCTAACCGTTCTCTCTATCAACATAATCTTCTGTTTCAATGTTGCTGCCAAAGTTATCTTCTAAAATTCACACTCTTTTGTGATATCTTTCTGTTTAAATGACTCCCTGTTACCTTTAGGACAATGCTCCTGTGCCTAAGTGTGGTCTTCAAGGCCCCCTGTGCCTGGCCCCTGCACCTTTCTGGCCAAGGTGATGCCACATCCTCCCTCCTCCCTTTTGAGTCAGGAATGCTATCATTGACTTTCTTCAGATGTTTCACCCTCACCCCTCAGTGCCTATGCCTGTGTCATTTCTTCCTCCTAGATTTTGTCTGCTTAATTAACTCATCATTTCATACTCAGCTCAAATGCTGTAACCTCTGAGGTTCTTCCTCAACTCTGCATTCCCCATTCTGAGTCAGATTCCGGGCTTCTCTTGTCCTCTTACCCAGTTTTTCTCTATTATTGTTATTTATATTCTTATTTCTTTTCCTCTCCTGATTGCACTCAAAATGGGAGTTATGACCTATTTTGCTTCAGTGTTTATCCCATAAGGACTTCACTAAAAGATTGTAAAAGAAAGGAAATAGCTGTTCATTGTTTTGTCTTTTAATGTTTTTATTTTTTTTTCCCCTCTTGGTCTTAGAGAAAAGCCACAGAAATGGAGAGTGGAAATAAATAGCGGTCAGAAAAAGGTTAAAACAATTTGGCAATTGAGTGACAGTCCACCTGTAGACCATCTGAATTTTCAGAAACCTGGTAAAGATGATTTGTAATCTATTTAGATAAATTATTCCAAGTGAAAATAAACTAAATTTTTCTGGAAGGGATCATTATTACAGCTCTTGTGCTTAGTTTTAAATAATTTTCCTGAATTGAGTGTAAACAGACTTTTTTTTTTTTTTGGCATGGCTGAAGATTGAACCCAGAGGCACTCTGCTACTGAACTATGTCCCCATCTCATTTTATTTTTTATTTTCAGAGAGGGTTTCACTGAATTACCCAGGCTGAGCCAAAACAAACTTATTCTTAGAAATAAAGGGGTTGGGAGGGGGGAGACAGACAAATATTTGTGCCAGTGTAATGCTTAGAAAAATTCAGAGTTTGATAATCATGAAAGAGTGCTTTTTCTTTTTTGTACTAGGAACTGAACCCAGGAGTACTTTATATTTTTTATTTTGAGACAGAGTCTTGCTATTTTTTAGGGCCTTGCTACGTTGCTGAGGTTGGCCTCAAACTTGTGATCCTTCTGTCTTAGCTTCCTGGGTTGCTGGGATTATAGGTGCCACCATGCCCAGCATATGAAAGAGTGCTTTTCCTCATTATCCTGGGTAGAGGAACTTTAATCGAATGAGGTCAAGCAGTAGGGACATGGGTGTAAAAATAGGTTATAAGATGGAAATGCTAGTTCATAATCCACACTGTGCACTCTTTGAAATTGTGTTATTTCTGTCCTGGTGTCTTCTCTGTGACTAGAGTAAGGGTTAACATTTCTTATACTCTCTCAGTGATTACCCATGTTAGTTGTATAATTAGCTGGTCTACTAAGTCCTCCTCCTTTAGCATCTATAAACTTGTATTTTCAGACATACAGATTGTGATACAGTTGTCTCTTATGTACATAGGTCTTTAATCACTACATTCAGATATTGCCAGGATTGTTTGAAAACAAATCTGATAGTTTTTTAACAAAGTCTAAGACTTCAAAGACCTTAATTAGCTACTCTTGGGAATACAAATCGTTCTATTTTATTCATTAATATCTTTCAAAATTATTTCCAGACAATGTTTATTCTTCTCCCCAAAATATATTTTAATTCAGACATAATAGAAACCTGTCAATTGAAGACTCTGTGCATATAGCTACACTGTGAAAGTCCTTAAAAAAAAAAAAACTGAAAGAATTTTTCCATGAGCCATCAGTTAAAATCATGCCTTATCTTTTCTGAGTGTGATATAAAACCTGGGCACTATAAAAGATTGAAAGTCAGTTTTAGAAATAGAAAAATTTCTGCATGGCAAAACATGCCAGAGGCAAAACAAAAGACAAATGACAAACTAGGAGGAGAAATTTATAGCCCATGTTCAGAAAAGGGATATATTCCCTATAAAACAACAAAAACACTTTTAAATCAGTTTTTAAAAATTAATAACTTAATAGAAAAATGGGCAAATAATTTGAACAGTTTACTAAATGGAAATTTGAATGTTTCTTAAAAGGTGCTTGGGCTGGGGATATAGGTCTGAGAGTGGTAGAATTCAATGCCTAC